TTTTTTTCTTGTTGCTCGTGGATTTCTTGAAGCGCCCGTTCATTTTGACGAACGAGCTGACTGACCATCGAAAGGGTGAGCAAGAGCCGCATGGATTTTTCTCTAAAAAAGGGGAACTATACACTTGTGTGTGTGTGTGTGTGTGAGAGAGAGAGAGAGAAAGAGAGAGAGAGAGAGAGAGCAAAAAAGAGAGAGAAAGATCTTACCTGGCGACTAGTGGACTAGCAAAGCAACGACCAACAAGGAAGTCTCCAACCTTGCGACATCCTCCACTGCTCCCCACCTGCGCAAAAGACAAAATATGGCGGTGTATCTCTCCATCTTCTCATGGGAGGTACGTTCCACGAGAAGGAGTGATTTCAGGTAAGTTCGTTTTGTTTTTTTTTTCCCCCCCTTAGATTTTGTATTTTCTTGTTTTGTTTCAAAACAACGCCCGTTCGTTTTGAACAGGGCAACAGTCACTGAACACGCACCTGGATCTGGTACCTTTCTTGTGCTAGATACAGGCGCAGGTGAAAACCCTGTTAAGCTTGATACCAGTTGGACTGAAGTGCCCCGCCCCTTTGCTGTTGAGCAACGGGCTGGCCCCTCATGGCGAAATGAGGGGCCTTTAGGGAGGTTAGGAAATTAGGGGGTAGGAAGAAGAAAAAAAAAGAAAAGAAAAAAGAAGGAAAAAAAAGTAACATGGCCGTGGTAGCAAAACAGGTGCAACCCTAGAAAGTTATAGGGGTTGATGGGACTGCGCCTGTTCGTTTTTGAGTTGGCAGCAATAAGTGGCTGAGTACAACCATTTCCAGGAGCACCTAGCCAGGGAAAACAACCAGGTACTTCTGGGGATTGAAGACCTTGGTCCCCCTAAGGGGAAACCGAGGCACCGGGCTCCTGGCCGTTGATTTAGATCAAGGGTAAGGAGCACTGACGAATTTTGCCTGGCTGTGGGCAAAGCAGCTGCCCACATGCCTTCGGCTGGCTATAAAAGCCAACACTCCACCCAACAGCCTCACACTTATGACAGTGCTGCTGGAGCATTCACTTGTGTGAATGCTGGCTGGCTGCTTCGTGCTGCTGTGGAGAGGAAGTGCTGCTATTGGAGGAAATGGAGGTCTACAGGATGAGCGGAGACGTTGCTGGAGGAGTGAGGAGCGAGGCAGTCATAGCCGATGCTAAGGGCATTCTGCCTCAGTGTTAGGCTGGTGCTGCGCCTGTGGGATTACCCCTGGGACCACTTCGTGGAACCAAGGCTCTGTCTTAGGTTGGTTGCGGCGATGCAACAGGCTGAACTTCCCTTTGAGTAAGGTTATGATGCCGAGGTGCGGACGCATCGGCGCTATGTTTTTTATGTGAGTGTGGGGAAGTGGTGCCCGTTCGACTGTACGACGGCGACAGTATTTTCAATGGGGTTACGCTGCCGAAATTTTGACTCAGCGGGAACCTTTTTTTTTTTCTAGGGAATGTGTTGTGCCCGTGAAGCTCCGACAATGGCACTTCGATGAGGAAGTACTGCCAGTTTGTTTTGATACGGTGGCGTGGTACCGGTTTTGACGGCGCGGCGAGCGACAGTTCCGTTTTTTTGTGGTGCGCAGCTGTTATGGTGGATCCAAGTATGACCTGGAGATTGGGATAGTGTTTGTGCATGTCTGGGGACCATGCGGCGATGGTGTGTGAACCGGCGCCATGAAGAGAGTGCAGAGTGAGTGCACCCGGTGGCTATTGGGGCTCGCGGCACATGCGTTTTTTGCCGGAAGCCACCTTTATTTTCTTTGTTGTCAACATGAAGAGAGTGCAGAGCGAGCGGTTTCGAGTTCTGGACCATTTGGTGTTGCCGGCAATAGTGTGGGACCGCTCAAAACTTCCTAGGGTCCAATTTGGGGCCAGGTGAGATTAATTTTGAGATTGGGACCGATATGTTGGTGTGGCTATTATGAGCGGACAAGATGATTTGAGGCGGCATGGACTTGCAGTTGGTTGGGGAGTGTTCTTGGAGGACGTGGTGCAGTAGGGACTGCGTTGAGACTGTCCGGGATGTTGAGGCAACCTGAGATTGGATCATGGGAGCACCCTTTTTGAGGGTTATCTCATTCAGACATCTCAGGGGACCCAACATTGCCACGATCGGGCACTTGGAGAAGGACGAGGACCATGATTCAGGAGAGGCCACAACTTGTGAAGTTGTGAACCGCAAATTTTTATATTCTACGACAGTCATTTTCTTTTGATTGAAGTATTACTCGTCTTTCGTAAGTGAGCCGGATCGAACTTCACTCAAGGTCAGTCAGTTGATTGACTCAGACTTCCTTTCACACCCGTATGAACCCACACTTGCTTGACCGTGTTCATTGAATGTTCATTGAAAGGGCAAAGGAAATGTGTGTTTGCATGTGAATGATGAGGTCTGACTTAGGCATGGGGTTGCATTGGTTTCTTTTGAACTTGGTTGTTTTTCTTTGAGTGCAGGTAGGTAGAAGGATGCTTGCAAAGGAGATTGATTATGCTGATTTGAGATGAAGAAAAAGTTTATCCTCTTTCTATCTTTCGCCTGCCTGCATGACAAAAATACTTGAATTTTGAAATGAATAATTTCAACGGGTACTGTGAAAAAAAAAAAAAAAATGAACGATGAAGATAATCAGACTTAGTTTTTTCCCGAGGAATGACCCTTTCTATCCCGAATGACCTTATCTATCTGTACCTGTCCAAAATCATTCTCTATCTCCTTCTGTTTCTTTTCGTCCAAGTTACCTTAAGCTTAAGAGAAATGAAAAAAACGGAAACCTACTTGAACTAGACACATTCTCTTTCTCTAGGAAGCATCTGGGGCGGGGGTTCGTTGCTTTAAGAGTTGACCCTGTTATCGACCCAGATTGGACCGTTCAACGAAGGAGTACTTTCCGATTCGGTGGAGAAGACCCGACTTTTGAGATCCGAGTTTTGTGTTCAGGCGAGGAGAAGGAGTAGCCGTGACCACTTCCTAGAGAGATAGACATGCAACATTTCAAGCAATACCTGTGATCAAGAATCATTCGCAAAACAATATGTCATCCAAAAAGATTGGGAATGTATGAGGACAAGTGTTTGTGTCTAATGTTAGGTCGACGGTAGGCTGAGACAAATGACTCTGGCGGCGTGTCTGATCAAGTCAAAACTAAGGCAGTCGATTACCTTGTCGGCTTCATCAATGTATTGTCGGTAGTCAACTCCTCATTGGCGGTTGTATGATTGTTTTGTAAAGTCCGAATCAGGATAGCCGGATTTTATTTCGACCTTGTGCGATTGGATGTATCGTATGATGATTTGAATTCTCTCAGTTATCATTACAGATTGGATATGCGTTCTATCGACTACGGTTGATTTCTTTTTATATAATGTTTATGATAGGTTACCAGTCGTCCGATGGCCGGACGTCTCGGCCGGACGTCTCTCCCAACCATTCGGTAGGGGGGTTGTCCGGGATCACGGACAACCACTTTTTGACATAAAAAAAATAAAAAAAATAAAAAAAATGAAAGTGTTGCGCATGCCATAGAGATCCCCCATAAAAAAAATTCAGAATTTTTTGAGCATTTGGTGATAGGGTGCTATTTGGGGTGGGAGGGCGGGGTACGAGGGGTTTTGGTGGGGATAGGAGGGGTATAGGTGGGGATTATAACTTTTGAAGATTTTTATCTTTTTTTGTACTGGCTCAAATGAGCCAAAATTTTGGTGCCATACACCTTATGCAAGGTAGAAGCCACATGATTTTTTTCATTTTTTTTGTTTTTTTTTGTTTTTTTTTTGTTTTGCGCTAGGTCGGACAACCCCTGTCCGATCCGACGTCCGACCAGACGTCCGGTGGAACATCCCGGACGGTCAGGGGGGTCCCGGACGTCTGGTAAAACAACCTAGGTTACCACCATCATTATTACTTCTTCTAAGTTCTGCTTTAGTGGAAGTAGGTGCTGGTATCGGGTGGACGGTCTACCCACCTTTAAGCGGTATAACCAGTCATTCTGGAGGAGCTTCCTATTTCTAGTCACTTAGAAAGTAAGGCAACAAAATTACCTTAGGTGAAAACAATGCGCGCTCTTGCGCCTCATGTCCCACTGAACCAGAAGAGGGCCAAGATTTGGTATCTCCAAAAGAATCTGTTATGGTAATTATAGTGTTACTTAAAGTTGATTGAATATAAGCAATACCGTGTTTTGTTTGCATGGCGTTTTTTATGTTATTTGACTTCGCAAGTATGATAAGATGCATAACTTTGATTTTTCTATTTAGTAGAAAAAAGTTATTCATGTAGCTCGCCCCCCAAAACCTTAGCCTTGTTTGTGGGCTCGGGAAGGGAAGCTGACAAACATCTTCGCTTCGCGCCTTCTGACTCTTAATTGTCCGGAATCAATCTCACGTGTAGAAGAAGAAGAAGAAGAAGAAGAAGAAGAAGAAGAAGAAGAAGAAGAGCAAGAAGAAAAAGAGGAAGAGGAAGACGAAGAAGAGGAGGAGCAAGAGGAGGAGGAAGAAGAAGAAGAGGAGGAGGAAGAAGAAGAAGAGGAAGAGAAGAAGAAGAGGAAGGAGGAAGTGGAAGAAGAGCAAGAAGAAGAAGAGGAGGAGCAATAGGAGGAGGAGGAGGAGGAAGAAGAAGAAGAAGAAGAAGGAGGAGGAGGAGGAGGAAGAAGAAGAGGAGGACGAAGAAGAAGAAGAGGAGCAAGAGGAGGAGGAAGAAGAAGAAGAAGAAGAGGAGGAAGAAGAAAAAGAGGAGGAGGAGCAAGAGGAGGAGCAAGAGGAGGAGGAAGAAGAATACGAGGACGACAAAGAAGAAGAAGAAGAGGAGGAGGAAGAGAGGAAGAAGAAGAATAGGAGGAAGAAGAAGAAGAAGAAGAAGAAGAAGAAGAGAAGAAGAGGAAGGAGGAAGTGGAAGAAGAGCAAGAAGTAGAAGAGGAGGAGCAAGAGGAGGAGGAGGAAGAAGAAGAAGAAGAAGAAGAAGAAGAAGAAGAAGAGGAGNGGGGGGGGGACGAGGGGTTTTGGTGGGGATAGGAAGGGTATAGATAGGGATTAGAAACTTTGAAGATTTTTACATTTTTTTCTACTGGCTTAAATGAGCCAAAATTTTGGTGCATACAACTTATGCAAGGTAGAAGCCACTTTTTTTTTTTTTTTTTTTTTTTTTTTTGCGCTAGGCTGGACAACCCCTGTCCGATCCGACGTCCGACCAGACCTTCGGTCGGACATCTGGGACGGTCAGGGGGGTCCCGGACGTCCGGTAAAACAACCTAGATGTTATGTTGATATTTTAATTTTCTTTCGATGGTATGTCTAAGGGACTAGGATTTATGTTGGGTTTCACGCTTGGTTGAAACCGTCCTAGTCGACCGACGTCCGCTTCGTACTTAGGAGATCAACGCTCTAAGGAACGAACGACGTTCGGGTCCGCTCAGCGTTAACCCAGCGTATCTATACTACAACGAACGAGCAAACGACCTCGGCTGATCTACCTCTGCGATTGAGCGTAAAAGGTTTCGCACGTGGGTCAGTAGCTCGGTAGGGATACACTCCTAAGGGTGGTGAGAACCCCTTCGGGAAGGAAAACTTATGCCCCGCGAAAACCTATTCTGTCGTAGGAGATCGCGAGATGTACAACTGACGCACCCGGTTAGAGCGGCGAAGGGACGACCCTACCACGACCATCTCGGCAGTTCGTGGGGTTGTTAAGTGTTGTTCCCGAGTCATCTTTCTTATTTTTGTTTTTGTTTTTACTTCTGCGTGACATGGTTGGGAGGGCTCCCACGCTTTTCAAAAAAGCGGGAGCCGATGTGCTCGACAGGTGGCGCTGTTGATGGGGATGACGACAAACTAGCATAGTCCCTAGCGCAACGGCACTCGAGTATTTTATTTTGTAATGGATTAATTGATCATATTGTGAATTCTAAAAAATAATTATTTTATTATCATTGATTGATTTCGTATTATTTTGTATCCATGGATTATGTGCTAATTTTATTATGAATGATATTTTATTTATTTTGAATAAGTTGGATGTAAATTCTTAATATCCTGATATTAATTAAATTGTACTATGTTATTATCTTGATGTTCATCGACTTTATCTATAAATTTTGAGTATTGTGTTAATGATTATTATCTTTCATGAATAATATTTTAATTGTATACTTCACCTTAAACTTTGAGGTATCCATCGAGTTATAATTTTAGTGGATCAGAATTCTTGTGCAAATTATTATTAGTTGCAACCATTTTGGAATGTTGTCTAATAAATGTTAATTTTTTTTTGATATTGTTTTGCATATTTATTTCATCATATATTTGATTATTATATTGAAATATTGTATATTTCGATTGATAAGTTTACCCAGAGTCCTATTCATTTCGAGATTATCCGTTCTAGTGATGCATTTCTATGATTGAAGGCATTTGAACTACTGTTGAAGATTATTTAGTTTGGATCATTATGAAATTTCATGTGAAAGCATTTGTTGTATATTGTATTTCTATTCTTAAATATTTTTAAAGGAAGTTTTGAAGGCGTTATCATATCACGACAAATTTCTGAGGGATTTTTTAGCTCTGCATGTGGTAGTGAGGCCCACGTCGAAGCTATGCTTCTGGTCCATAATCGGATGTTGTCTTCCGAATCGTGAGTGGTTTAAGGAAAGGGAGACTACACTATCACTGAAAGGGAGAAAGGTGTTGAGGCTTTGTTAAAATATTGTATGTAACGGTAAGCGACTATTGTTTACCGTGAGGGATGGAGTGATCACCTAACCTCATTTCGAACAGAGCCACCTTATCTTTATGACCGAAGTCTTATCAACCTCGGTTGTATGAGGAAGGGTTGTCCTACTCTATCTGCAGAGAATTGATAGGGTCGCAACGCTAGAATCAGAGGAAATGTAGTGAGACTCGAATCCAACGCGAGGCTTGATGTCGAGATGCTATCCCTTGAAGCGGATTACACCACTCCTCCATGCACATCACAAAAAGTTCAAAAAAATCAGGTCTGATGACTGTGAAAGTGAGATTATAACTTGGACAAGAGAACTTTTGAAAGAATGATTTCCCTCTGAATGCCCCATTCAAAATACGTCAAAAACAACTCCAGGAAGTTGATACGTTTAGAAGACCTGTCAGGGGTTCTCCTGACTAACTTGAGTTCTGCTCAGGTGCAATACAGGTAAATGAATTTCGTTTTGAATCTAGTCGAAGGGTTTCCAGTGCCATTCAAATGGACAAAAACTTTTGAGTGACCGCCAGTGGGATGATGCTGGGATCATTCTGAAAAAGTTCCCTTAAGTTGAAGGCTTTCAAAAGCTAGACATGGGTCCAAGTTCTGATGGTATAGAAATGTGAATGAATTTTGTTTCGTTCATGGGGAGCTCCTGGTTGATTCCAGACGAATGTTTGACCTATCGAGTATTGTGAATTTTGGTCTCACAGAGACGTTTTATGAGAATTTTAATTTTGATGGTGAATGACGGGGACGTCGTTCAATGAGGTCCGGGAATGCTGTCGGGAAAAATACCCTGACAAGGGTATTTGCCGAGAATTTTTAAACGTCGGACGTTGTCCGACTCTTTCGTTGAATTGAAGGACTTGATGAGATCGACGTTTGCCAAAAGTTTATTCAGACCCTTATGACTGGGAGACAAAAAAATTTTGAACTTTAGTCTGGACGCGTGTGGCGACCGGGAGTAACAAATGTGATTGGCAATACTTCACTTTTGTCGAAGCCGTAGGAACGTGCGGACATGAGAACGCTAAAGTTAAACCTATTCTACCTAAAATAATGTCTCGCGGGTGCTAAGCCGCACGATTAAGGGTCTAGGTAGGCTAAAAAGAAGGATGCGCCGGATATAGGGCTGCATCACAGGGGGAATAGGAAGAAGGGTTTTTATTTCCTGGGTCGTGGGGGTTGACATCAAGCCAGGGGGTTGATAGGCCGATGTCGAGGTCAGACGACCAACCAACGGGGCAAGGCCTGCAGGGAAAGCCTATTAGGCTTCAGGGAGACAGAATCTGCAGAGCCTCAGACACGCAAGGGCCTACAAGGCCACCGGCAGGGGGGATAGCAACTGGGCAAGCTTTTTTTATAGAAACGTTGCTCTTATCACTGTCGTGATAGGAGCTGGTCCAGTAGGTTATGATGCCAGACTTTCGCCTAGCAAATACCGAGATCAAGCCCGGCCGCACGCATCCTACTGGGCCAACTCCTTTTGGAGTATCTAAGCAGTTGGGCGTAACCGAAATCGACTGCGCGATCATCAACATCGAGTGGTTGAGTTCTGCCGCGCGCAGATCAGCATGGACCCTGCACGAGGATGACGCGCATAAATTGAGAAAAAAATAAATAAATAAATATTTTTTTTGAGTCCTACAGGACTCGAACTCGGGTCAGCATCACAGAGTGCGTGGCTGAAAAGCCACGTGACTCAGGACGGGACCGTTGGCATAAGACAATGCTTATTTAAAAAAAAAAAAAAACTAACTAAACTAAAGATAAAGCGCCCACTGGCGCGATATGAAGTGACTGGGGCACTAAAGACCCAGTGCAGCTGATGGTGCCCGTTCAGAGGAGCGACCGTTTCTTTTCTTAGGTAAGTTGTTGTTTTCTCGTTTTGTTTTTATTTTTTTATTTTTTTTTTGCTTTTTTCTGAGATTTGTTTTCTTTAAATTTGCTTGAATTTTCTTTAGTTAGATTTCCTTTTAGATTCTTTGTTTCTTTTTAATTTCTTTTTTTTTTTTTCCGTTTGTTTCTTGTTGCTCGTGGATTTCCTCAAGCGCCCGTTCGTTTTGACGAACGGGTTGACTGACCATCGAAAGGGTGAGCAGGAGCCGAATGAATTTTCCTCTAGAAATGGGAACTATACACTTGTGTCTGAGAGAGAGAAAAAAAAATCTTACCTGACGACTATTGGACTAGCAAAGCAACAACCAACAAGGAAGTCTCCAACCTTGCGACATCCTCCACTTCTCCCCACCTGCGCAAAAGACAAAATATGGCGGTGTATCTCTCCACCTTCTCGTGGGAGGTACATTCCACGAGAAGGAGTAATTTCAGGTAAGCTCATTTTTTTTTTCTTTTTTTTTTCCTTAGATTTCGTATTTTCTTGTTTTGTTTCAAGACAACGCTCGTTCGTTTTGAAGAGGGCAGCAGTCACTGAGCACGTGCCTCTGGCACCTTTCTTGTGCCATATAGAGGTGAAGGTGAACACCCGGTTGAGCTTGATACCAGTTGGACTGAAGTGCCCCACCCCTTTGCTGCTGAGCAACGGGTTGGGCCCTCATGGCGAAAGGAGGGGCCTCAAGGGAGGTTAGGAAATTAGGGGGTAGGAAGAAGAACAAAAAAAAAAGTAACGGCCACGTACGTGGCCGAGGTCGCAGAACAGGTGCAGCCCTAGAAAGTTATAGGGGCTGATGGGACTGCGCCTGTTTGTTTTTGAGCTGGCAGCAATAAGTGGTTGAGTACAGCCATTTCCAGGAGCACCTGGCCAGGGAAAACGACTAGATACTTCTAGGGATTGAAGACCTTGGTCCCCCTAGGCGAAAACCAAAGCACCAGACTCCTGGCTGTTGATTTAGATCACGGGTCATGAGCACCGGCGAATTTTGCCTGGCTGTGAGCAAAGCAGCTGCCCACATGCCTTCGACTGGCTATAAAAGCCAGCACTCCACCCAACAGCCTCATACTTGTGGCAGTGCTGCTGGAGCATTCGCTTGTGTGAATGATGGCTAGCTGCGTCCTGCTGTTGTGGAGAGGAAGTGCTGCTAGCAGAGGAAATAGAGGTCTGCATGATGATGGAAGTTGCTGCTGGAGGAGTGAGGAGCGAGGCAACCATAGCCGATGCTAAGGGCATTCTGCCTCAGTGTTAGGCTGGTGCTGCGCCTATGGGATTACCCCTGGGACCACTACGTGAAACCAAGGCTCTGTCCTAGGCTGGTTGTGGCGATACAACAAGCTAAGATTCCCTTTGAGTAAGGTTATGCTCCCGAGCTGCGGACGCATCGGCGCTGTGTTTTTTATGTGAGTGTGGGGAAGTGCTGCCCGTTCGGCT